TAGCCATGGCTTTACACATGAAGAGTTTTGAGTTTCTGTTTTACAAAAAACGTTGCTGATTCTGACCATATCTTATCCCTGGTTTTTTCTCTGGTTACCACCAGCCTCTTTAAACATTCATCCATCTCATCTCCCTGCAGAAGGTTCTTGCGTTAAGGTGTCACCTACAACGGCACTGAGAATTATGCATGAATCATACTTCAATGCCTGAGTCTGGACAACATCCTCCACTGTATCAAAGAGTAGCAGACTAATTTAGGAGGCACAGGTCAGGTTACATGGATCACATAACTTCAGCCTCCATCACTTTGCTACTGTTTGGCATTTCCCAATATCCACTATCTCTTAATTGATTAGTGGCAGGCTTCCACCCCATGTAGAAGAAATAGCATTTTCAAGCTTAGGGAAGAAGGTTTTAAGATTTGTGATACTGACCCAATTTGCCTCAAGAGACTGGACAAAGGAAAGATGCTTATTTTTAACCTCAGCCATAAAAATAAGTGACCATAGTTAGATGAACCAATAATATTATGGAAATGAACCTTCCACTGTTACAGCAGAAACACTTCTGAAAATGCAGTATCTGATAAATTTTAAGAGCTAAAGTTTACAGATTTGTATCTGTTGAAAATGACAGGTAGAACATGCTAAATATACAGACTTCATTGTAGGGGTGTTGCTAAAACTTCTTAGAAGACCCGTATCCCTTAGCTGATTAGGACTGTTTGGATCATGGATGAATCTTGTTTATCCACATGAAGAGGATACTGAAAAATCTGTAGAAAAATCCTGTCACAGTTAACAATAATGTCACAGTGACAGGAGACTAAATGTTGCATATACATATGTGAGTCAAGGGGAGAGGTATTTGTATTATTATGACCTGTTCTAAGCTGCCTCAACAATTATTTGATTGAAAGGTGGAATATACATATTAAAAATACATTAACGAAACAAAAGGGAGGAACCCTGCTGAAGATCTATGTGTATAAAAGGCAAATTGTGGAACTTACCATAGCAAATTGTGGCTACTTAAGAAGCTGCCAGTTATCTTATGATGCACAACAGGAGCATACTTAGTAACATACTTACTTCAGTAAGTGCCAATTCACAGTTGTGAGCTACATAATTAAACGTTCACATGTAAGAAACACCAACAATTTCTGGCCAAAATATTCATGAGACACCAGCTCTATGATCAGTGATAGGCTGTGTATGTCTGGAACTTCCTACTATATAATAATGCCAGAAGAGTAAATGAACAGCAGAGACAGCAATGGCTACATATTGAAATGTTAGTCAATACTACCATGGGCAATAAATTGCAGCAATTGCACGCATATTGTAGGGATTATTGTATTTGAAGCACTGCTAGGAAAATATCATCTGGAAATGCTGGTGTAATCCAGTTTCTGCTATTTAGAGAAGTGTTTTATTGAGTTTACAAATAATAATCTGCAATATTCCATTTCCATAGCAATACACTAAATCACCTTGGCTAAGTATGTCATCATGGCTATAATTTACATGATGGAACATGACAGTTAAGATGTACTATGGTAATTTGTGAGTGCTTTCAGTATTACTGTAGTATCAAAAATTTATATGGTTCAGTTATTAAGGCAAATTGTTTCTTTCAGGCAGAGATGTCTGACAGTAAACCAAAGTCCTTCCAAATTACACATGGAAAAATGCCTTCCACATTCAGATAAATTGCACATGGCTCTTCCACTATTTTGCTTCCTGAAGAAAGGGAAGAGAGGGATCTGCCATAAGCACACAAGAGTTCATTACCTATAGATGGAAAGATATAAAACCTTATTCACGGTGAATGGGAATCTATAGCCTTGAACAAGATGTCCATATGTTTTGGAAGAGATGCAGTTTAATCTTTACTTGCTCACTTACCTTCTGCCATACTGATTTTCAGCCAAGAGGAAAAAACTAATGCAGAGAAGCTTTCAGAAGCTACCTTGGGAAATGTTCCTGGAGTTTCAAATAAACTACATAATAAGTAAAAACTTAAAAGGAAAAAAAAGAAGGCTTCTCTTTTCAGATTCCTGACATTTCAACAGTGCAGACAGCTTCAAAGCCTGGTGCTGCTGTTCACACTGATACTCCAATGCATATACAGTGGTGCCTCGCTTAACGATGTTAATTCGTTCCAGCAAAATCGCTGTAGAGTGAAAATGTCGTAAAGTGAAAATAAAAAACATTGAAATGCATTAAAATCCGGTTAATGCGTTCTAATGGGCTAAAAACTCCCTGTCCAGCGAAGATCCTCTATACGGCAGCCATTTTTGGTGCCTGTATAGTGAGGAATCGGTCCCTAAGCACAGTGGGGAGCCATTTTGAGCACCCAGCGGCCATTTTGAAAACCTGACAATCAGCTGTTTTGATCATCGTAATGTGAAGAATCGATTCCCAAAGCAGGGAACCAATCTTCGCAAAGCGAAAAAAAACCCATTTAGACCATCGTTTTGCGATCACAATTGCGATCGCAAAAAATTGTCATGAAGCGGATTCATCGTAATGCAGGATAATCGTTAAGCAGGGCACAACTGTATAAAAGTGTCTATCCAAAGGTATATAGATGTAGAGCTACAGTTTAGAATGCTGTGGCATAAGTGACTGTGGTAGTAGACTGGTCATAGAAGAGTAGAACCAGTGCTGTGTATACAGAAAGAAGCAGATTTAATAATTACTCTAAATCTTATGTTGATGATTACTGATTTACTTTCCATTGTCCACTTATGCAAATGTTCATGGTTTATTATTTTTCCTGTTTCATAGGTTGCTCATAGCTTGACTATATGATTTTATGGTTTTTCATCAGTACTGTATCCGACTTTGGGGTTACCTGAGAAGTGGGTAATGCATTTTATCCAACAAAACTAGCAGAGGTGCCCAGCTCTACAAGAGATAGAAAGCTCTTAGTCCACCATCTATCACCATGTTTCACTTGTTTTTTCTCTCCTCCTCCTTTTCAATCCTGACTAAGCTTTCACTCTAGCCACTCTGGAGCTGTCAGGACTCTTTTTATCCTCACTTGCCTTCCCCTATCTTACTAAGCAACCAGAAGATCCCCATCTCTTCCTTCTCCCCTTCTCTTTCTCATTTTGAAGAGTTTGGGAAACACTATGCAGGGCCACATAGAGGCTCTCTCTAGAGAAAAAACAACAACTGCTTTCTCTTTGCTGGTTAGAGATGTTAGGAAAGGATAAGAAGGCAGGGTTCTTAATAACTGAAGATGGTATTGCATGCTCCAATGGGATTTTACTTCATCAAAGAGAATTAATCTACAGTACTTTAAAAACAAATAAGCCTGAAGGTCCCCTTGGTATACATGCCAAAATTAAGGTATCTAGGTATCAGTCTTGGAGCAAAGTTCTTGGATTCAGTGATGTTTTCATAGAAGTATTAACACTAACAGAAGATCATCATCATCACTGTAGAACTGAAGGATGGCTTAGATGTTTCAGTAAATCATCTAAACACACCTGAATCAATGAAAGTAAATGTAGTAAATAAAATTTAAATGACAGGAGTAATTTCTGAAATCTGGCTGAGATCCATGTTTATTACATTCACACACACACACACACACACACACACACATACACACACACAGACAATTTTAAAAAATCAGTTGCTTATAATAACTACAGCATTAAAAGTGTAATGAAGAAGTTTAATGAACAAAAACAAGACTTTGATCAGAATACAGAATACGTATTGATCTAGGGAACCAATGGCCAGACTCATGATAAGGCATCACACTGATAAATTGGACTTAACCTTCACCTAATTAGGGAGGATATGGCAGATATATGTCAATTAAGGTCCCCTGCAAGAAATGGTGTATGCAGTATTGTTCCATTCCATTGGCAGATATTCAAGGCTGAGGAGTGGTTTCTTCACATGAAATCTTCCATCCCGTCTGGACTAAGGATGCATACTGGCATCATGTATATTACTGTGGTGATAGCTTTCTGTTGTCTATGTTTGATATTAAAGTGTATTAAAATACACTTTAATTTTTTTTAAAAAAAGAAGCTTTTGGGTAATGTGAGATCCTCCAAATATTGATGGGGTAAAATTCCCAGCACCCCTCATCACTGGCATTGCTGTTTAGAGTAGGCTACACTAATAATTAAAAAATACATTTAGAGGGCTACTTGTTCCCCAAAACTGTGCGGGCTGAGCTAGAATGTTTTCATGACATAGTATAATTTCATAGAGAGCTGCCTGTCTTAGTATCCAGCTCACTGTGGGGTGGGGGTGGGGAGATGTGTAGTCTGTATATATATATTTTTTAAATTAAATAAGTTAAAATAAGTTCTTTAAGCACTATGGAGTAGTATATAAGCAACACACGTTGTTTTCCTTTTTTTGCTTTAATTTATCTGTCTGAAGCAGAGCTGCAGCATATGTATCCCAAAAAACATAGCAAGATGGGTCAGCTTGTTAAGCATCTGCATGGGTTTAAACAATGCAATAAAGTATGTAAATATTTTCTTGGCATACTGTATCTGGAATCCTAGAGTCCATGCCCTCAACTTTCTCACTTGCCTTACATATTTGCCAATACACTTCCTCAACTTGTGATCATTTTTCAACATCTGTGGAAACTAAATGGGAAAGAGCTAGCAAAATGTGAAGGTGTAGTAAAGGAGTTAAGTCTGCTTGAAAGAAACACATTAGTTGCACAAAATAGATGAACTATCCAATAATGCTACAAATTATATGAGCTTTCCTAACACCTGACACCAGAGGCTACCAGGAGGTTGTGAGAACAGGAGCACTTTGATTAGTCTCCTTAACCCTTTGCCTCAGGTCTCCCTGGGATTCTCTGTATGCCTATGTCAGTTGCTTTTAGCAAGCAATTTTGCCAGTCAAATATCTATCTGACAAATGATAACTATGCAAAAAAAGACTACTTGCATCTTTCACTATTAATAAATCAAATTAGCAATCAGGCAAAGACCATCTGCACTTACTTTGTTGCCCAAGTAAGGACGGGGAGCACTCCAGTAATAAACCTGCTGTAGAACAGTCCTTGCATCCATGTTGTTGATGCTTAGTTGTTGGGGTCCATCAAAGCTATCCTGCTGAGGAGTAACTTGAGCGAGACCAGCTACATCTGTCAGGTACCAGCCATTCATGTCTGTAATCTATGGTGACCAAAGAAAACATCTATTAATATCTTTTTTAAAATAAATAAATAAATCTGCAACAGCCTATTTCCTTTCTCCTTTCCTTCCTTGCTCCTTTTTCTGTTCATATTCATAAATTTGGATAAATTCCTGATTAACATAGAGTCATGGCCAAAAATATTGGCACCCTTGCAATTCTATCAGAAAACGCAACCCTTCTCTCAGAAAATTGTTGCAGTTTCAAATGTTGTGGTACTCACATGCTCATTTCTTTGGTTTGTGTTGGAACAACACAAAAACACAGAGAAGAAACATCAAATCTGATACAATCCCACACAGAAACCCAAAATCTCTCACCTTCTTATGAGGATAGATACATGCCCACCCACTACCCGCCCCTGATGTTGCTGGCTTATAACTCCTTCCTGCTCTACTCCGCACAGCAAATCATGAAAGATCATTGGAGCTGGAGTCCAAAAATACTGGGAGGAACCCATATTCCTCACACCAGGCTTATTGGATGTTCTTATTAGAATATTAAGATGTTTTATTTTTAAATTTTCCAGAATCATTCAGGAGAAAAACCATCTAATTTTCAAGATGTCTTAGAAAGTACAAAAGTGTAAAGGTTTCTTTTTCTGTTACTCAAAGGAAAGGAAAGGAAAGGAAATTGGCAAATGTCTTAGAAGTCTCAGCTACCCAAGTAGCTTTGTGTACCATATGTTGTGTACCCCTGCTATAATGAACTCAGCAGTCTTCTCCAGCCTACAAGAATAAAGCAAGAGTTCAACAGACTATCCAATTCATGTCCAACAGTTTTAACAATTCCTTCCCAGTCTTCTTACTCAAAATCTTTATCACAGAGATCAAAAGTCAGTTTAGCTGCATTACGTCTAAAGGAAACACATGGGTGGTGCAGATTCCCTGCCCTGCAAACCTCTAACATTATGGATTTCAAAAGCAAGTTGTAAATATAAGGCATGCTCAAAGCTGATTGATTTCCACACAGACTGGGTGCCATCAGAATGGTGAACTGGCCCAGTTGCACGATGAAAGAGATCCTGCTTCAAGCTGGCATTTTAGTGTGCACATATATAAAATGCTGCGAAAACATATTCAAACCAAAATAGTTTCCCTCAAACCCAAGTGAATTGGAACACTCTGAACTGATTCAAAGCACATGGAGCTCAAGATGTTGAGCCAGTGTTAAGTCAAATTCCTTACTGCCCAAATACACTCTATCCTCCATTGAACTCAATCAGAACTTTCCACTTCATGTTGTTAATATATCGTAACCAAAACATGATCACCAGGCAAATCTGACCAGTCACTTTAATCTAAATAATTGCAGAGAAGTGATAACACCGGCCTTATCTACAGTTAAGAGAGAGTACAAACAGTTGCAAATGACCTTTGGAGCAGCACTTATGGCTCCCCCTCTCTGAATCTCCCCTCATATCAGTACTCATGAAATCATGTGCACTTGCTTTCTTTACAAAGCATCAAGTAGGGGGAAAAAAGAAGAACTCCTACAAGTCATCATCAATCCTCAGATTCTGCCCTTGGAAACACCCAACTTCCCCATCTCATCCAAACAATCAACAACTGTTTTATGAATTCCTATCACACTAAATAGTCTAACAAACAATCATTACTTAGCTTCTAGTAGTGGGAAAGAATATCTGTCACATGCTTTCATGTTATCCGTTCATACAAAGGTGCATTTTTCTCTGTTATCTGCTCAATCTTTATGCAGAACATATCATATGGAATCAAATCAATCAGCTTGCAGTTCTATTGCAGTTCTATTCATAAACCTTATTTATACTTTTCAATTATGATAAAAATCACTCCTGGCACATACCCCACACACAGTTCTCAGTCAACCTAGTCATTTTTCATGCAAGTAACTAGAAATCTGCAAAAAAAACAAACAAAAAAAACCAACAATCCCAACAACATATTTTAAAACATGTAGAACACTACATCTACAAGTTATTAGTAAATACCCCAGTAAGATATGTCAGTAATACATTTGTCACTATGTCAGTATTACGGACAACAAATATTTATTCATATTCCAGAGCAGATCTTGGAACACGTTGGCCATGCTAGTTGCAAGCTTCTAGCTGCTTTGGTCCAAAAAGCAATTTTCTAAACAATGTTCCATGTCCCTTTATACTCAGTATGACTGATAACTCTGGGTTGCATCCTGCTGATCTCCTAGTAAAAACAATACTGGCAAACAAAATCCCACCATTAAAGGCAGCCCTCCCCATTCATTTTCCAAATGGAGAATTGAATGATTCCCTGGAACAAAACTGGAGGAGAAAGAGGGGATAGAGGACATTGAGGTGGTGGAGGTTTGACAGTGGAAAGAGTTGAAGGAGGTGGGGGAAGAGAGAAAAAGAAGAGTCTGCACATTTGTTTGAAAGTTGATCAAGGCGTACGAGATTATTTTAATGTTATATCTCTTTTATATACAGTCACAAAAAGCTTTTCTTGTCTGATTTTGTTTGCCTTTTTCTTCTTTCCATGGCTAATGAAAGATATCTCCAATGTTATCATGTTTTAAATGTGGCTTTCACATGAGAAGAATAATCGTATACGGTAATTTTAGTCTTGAGGAACAGAGGCTGTGTGAGTAGAAGAGCTTCTACAAAACACATTTCAAGACAGAACATTTTCAAAAGAAAAGACAAGGTATATAGTAGGATGTAAATTTTTTGTTTTCCTTACAGTGCTGTAGGTCCAGCGAGACTCCATGCAGTCATTTGTTATTCCTGAGCAGAAGCATGCTTCACAGCCCTGAGGGTTTCCTTGCTGCAGGTTAAAGAAGCCTGGTTTACAATGATCACAGCTCTCTCCTCTGACGTGATCCTGCAAATTAGGCATTACTATATTATTTTTCTATCACACAGTAGGACTGAAACACTTTTCTTTTGTTTAAAAAAACAGAACAAAACAACAACAAAAACCTACTTTCTTTTGAGCTTTTCTATAAAGCGGGAAAAATATAAAGAAATTCTCTGTCAGGTGCAGAGGTTTCACTTAAATTCTCAAGTTACCTCAAGGCAACGTCTGAGTGCCCCATCACTTCTGAACTCTTTCTATTTGGGTTGAAGTGTATTAGACTCTGCAACACACCTCTCACTCCACTGTTACATTGATATCTGTTAGACTCAGAGACACCTTTGTGGGCAAGGCAGCTATTCCTTCACAAAGTATAGCCTCTGGAGCCTTTTGGAGGACCCTCATGTAAACCTTCTCAATATTTTGATAGATGTCAGATTTAAAGAAGCTAAACAATGTGCATATATAGTTTGCATCCTTCCCCCCTTTCCCCTCTGGAAACTGCATCTCATTAACAACAGTTCCACTCAGTCTCTTGCACTGAAATTTACAAATAATCAAGAAAAGGAAACTAACACAGAAATGTTATATCTTTTTGTATATTTCTCCATATTTCTTTGCTAATTCCATAATCTGTGGCCACTGGCCATTCCAGGCTGGGGCTTCTGAGGGATGCTGCCCAAAACACAGGGATGATAAATTGGATAATCCCTGGCCTCAACTATACATTTCTTTAAGGACAAAGCTAGCAACCATTGTGTCCCCTCCGCTTCCTCTATCCCACTTAAAGTAAGCATGAGGAGCCCACCTTGGATTACCCCTTTCCCCATACTGGAGTCCCAAACCAGATCAGAAGCCCATCTTTGCAGTTTGCAGCGCCAAGAGAACAATTTCTTCTTGTCTGCTGTTTCTCTCTGACCAAAAATCAGGCATCATCACGGTTATGACATCAGATGTTGCAGCTACAAACAAGGATATTCTGAATCCAAGACAGTTTCCAAGGTTTTTTGTCCAACAGATTATTCTTTCTCAATTTCTTTTCCTATATATTTTACCCTGAATAATCAGCTACAACAATCTATATTCATAGCATGATTAAAGTACTCTAGCAAGTTGCATTTTATGTGATTTAAGATTTCTTCATCTTTATACATTCATTTTAGTACTTCTTCACTGGTCACCGTCTTATTTTCCTGTTCTATAACAATCACCCCATCACTATTCTGCCTGCTGCAGTGAACCAGAATCCAAACACCAAATAATCATTTTACCATAAAGCCTTGACAAAGCCTCAGGAATACTTTGGCAATAACTAGTATGATTCGCATACAATTACATCTCAAACAAGATTTAAAAAGAGAGAAGAAGTTGGTGTTGCCATTCACCTTATAACCAAATCTAAAACTTTAAAACAAAACCTCTTGCCTACAAAATTTATCTCAGAAACATTTTCAGAAAGATGTTCTTTCTGAAAACGTTGTGCGCATCATCTCCATCTTGGCCGCAGAATATATGCCAGGCACAGATGGACAAACAAGGTTGACTGCAAGCCAAAAAGGGCTAAATGTTCCATGGCAGTGATAGCTGCTCTAAAACAGCCAGGATCATGCAAGTGATGCTTTACTGATCCACATCTAATGGGAGACATTCACTTGACTGACAGCCAAAGATATAGCAGATAAACATGAAGAATGTGGCTAGAAGCAATTCTTGAATTCATGATACCTCAGAAGAGGAAAGCAAGTGAGAAAAATTTTTAAAATTTAGATAAAAATCAACAAAGAGAAAATATGAGGGCAGATGTTCAATATGGATTACTATAATCCTACTTATCCTATATCGAGAAAACCCATTTCATGTATCCCTTCTTGTTAGAGATAGCAGCAAACGTTATCATCTTCTCTTAAAACCTGTTACCCATATCCAATGCCTAGGAAATAACTAGACTCCTGATCAAAGATTTATGCTACTGTTTTATTTTACAAGTGGAAGGGGCCATAGGAAATCAGAATTCCCATGCCCTAGAGACTCCAAAATGGTTTAATGCAAGTGTACTTTTTTGTGCCTGAAACAAAGTGCCAGGATCCCTATAGCTCCCCCTACCAGTTTCTGCAAATGGCCTTCAGGGGACCTGGGGAATCCTCCAGTCGATGACTCAGGTGGACTGACTTTGAATAGGTCCTAGAGCTGACTAGGTTGTGCAGACAGAGAGTGTGTACCAGAACAGAACCATGAATGAGGATAGTCTCTGCAAGATGTAGCCTTCATTGTTGGTAGCTACCATTTGAACCAACTGAAGCCTCAGGTAAGCCTTGAGACTATCAGAGCTAACAAGTAAATAGGAACCAGAACAGGGCCAGGAGTCTTGTTAAGTTACCACAGTTCCTGAAATGTGGAGACAGGCCATATTGGTGTCCTCCTGTCTCACCACCTAACTACCATACAAATCAACAAATGAAACATGATTGTGATATACCCCAGTATTTATAGATGAAGCTATTTTTCAGGGATGGCCTGAATGTCAAGGTTGTTAGTTTTGTTTGCATCAAGTGATTCTGAAAAATAAAGAAACTCCACCACAAAACCACTGAAAGCTCAGAAACAGGATGTTTAATTAGTCTACATTATTTATTGTGGGCAGACGATTCATGATGACTAATTTGTCAGGAAAGGTCCATTGCTAAATTTGTGCCAGCAATAAGTTCAAGGAAGGCTGCTGCAGCAGAATTCTGCTGATAGAATGGCACAAGGAGAGTCATCTGCCTTGGCATTACTTGAGTGTCTGTACCATCTGAATGAAAATACAGAAGAGGTATGCTGCTGGTGTATCACTCACTTCCACGGGAAGTAATCTTCCTGTCCAAACTGGATGAAGTGATCTCAGAGGCAATGCTAGAAAACTCCAGGACTATAGTTCTCTGGGGCTTTAACAGTCCTACTGATTTAATCCTGCCAGGACACAATCACGACATTCTGGCTACCATGTAATCACTGGGAGACTGTCTTGATGTACAACATGCCCAATATATGAGGCAGGATTTTGCTAATGGGCAGAAGGAGCATAATCTACGACTGGATGGATTGTCCATCAGCCTCTTGTCATGGACTTATGACCTTCTCGTGAAATTTGGGTTGATACATAAAGAGAGTACCAACATACCCTCTAATTTTTACCTCTGCTGGGCAGGGCTCTGCCTCTCGTGCATGTGACTTCACTCCTGCATGATCGCACAACTCCACCACCACCCCGTGCAGGGATCCATTGTGACTGGAACCAAGGGGGTTGAATATGATCGCTGCACGGAGGAGGAAGACAGCTGTGCGGAGAGAGGTGCATCCAGCTGAGATGGGAGCAAAATTCTTATTTTGCCTGTTCTATAACATTCAAGCCACTGTCCAGAAGTGTTGTTAAGGATGGTAAAGAACTTGTTGCAATCCAGCTCAGAGGAGCTAGGAGTGGAACACTCAGTTGTCTGCTGTAACAAATTTACTAGGCACATCAAGGAGAAAGCTGTTCATATTCACACAGGAGTAAACATTTTACTTGTGGTGACATTTAGGAGTGCTTCCAGAGTACACACTCAGTTTCCAGTGTCTAGTCTGGCTGTAACTATTGTAGCTTAGTGAAGTGGACAAGATGCTTGCATATGCCTGCTCTACTGCATGTAAACTCAGCCTTACTCCATCTTTATCTGATAAGAGCAGCAGAGATCAACTGGGAGTAGCTCTCTGGAGTTGGTCTTTGCCCCATCATGTCAGGGAATGCTGCTTGATGTTTTGAAAGCAGTAATGGAGCATCCTCTCCTGAACAGAACCTCCATGGTGAAATCATCAGGAACTTTGGAGGTGGGTGCTCCATTTTTCCTTGTCACTGGAGTCAGGTAAGGTCATGTTGGTAGAATGCAGACAAAAAACCCTGAATCTGAAGCCCAACATGACAGAGACTCTGGACTGGTGGTTCCTATGCCTAGAAATTGACTAGGCAATGCATTCTGGATGGTATTGCACTCTGCCTGAGGGAGCAGAACACAACTGAGGCATACTCCTGGATTCACTCCCGTTACTGGAAACCTGGGTGAACTCAGTGGCTCAGAGTATCTATGGCCAGCTCAGGTTGGGCTGCCAGGTACAGCTGTTTCTAGACAGGGATAACCTGGTCAAAGCAGTCCATGCACTAGTAACTTTCTGTTCAGAACACTACAATGTGCTCTGCTGCTGAAGATGATACAGATGGTGCAACAAGTACTAAATAAAGCAGCTACCGCTGACAGCATTGCATGGACAAATAAAAGTGGGAGCACTGGATCGTTTGGATAGAGGTTTCTCTGCATTTCAAAAATTCTGAAATAAATGTTATACCACTAGTACTGATTTTTGACTTTTGGGTGTCAAAGGTGTTAAGAGAGATGATTAAATGTTTCAGCAAAACAAACAAATTATGCCTCACAAATTATGATCACTTGTTAGGCCCGTTCAGATTGATTATTTTCCAGTCTTGTGCTACTTAGGAACGTGTGTGTGTGTGTGTGTGTGTGTGTGTGTGTGTGTGTGTGTGTGTGTGTGTGTGTGTGTGTGTGTGTGTGTGTGTGTGTGTGTGTGTGTGTGTGTGTGTGTGTGTGTTTCTTTGTTTGGTTGTGTGTGTGTGTGTGTGTGTGTGTGTGTGTGTGTGTGTGTGAGAGTGAGTGAGAGAGAGAAATTGTTTCTCTGCTCTGTGATCTCAGATAACCAATGAATACTTCTATTAGTTTAACCATGACCAGATCGATGTCACAGAGTATTGTTCCAGTTGCTTGAACAACATGTTTACAATTTCTCTTAATATGACATCAGCCCTTTTGCAAAGAATTTTACATCTTTTTTTCAAAGGGATATTTGGAAAGCAGAGGGGGGGGGGAGAGTATTTCAGAGGCATTAATATGTTTGCGACATCTGTCCGTCCAATTTGGTTTAGCCCTAGATTAACTGCAATTAATATAAACTGACAGATAGATCAAAATAACAATCTGTTGTAGGTAAGAATAAATACAAAGGGCTTTCTCAGCTTTCTCTTATTTGCTTAAGTTACTGCCAACAGCTTCTTCTTCTGTAAACAGCTGTTCTGTAAATATTTGTTCTATAAGCATTTCAGGAACCCACAACCCAATGGAATCATTAAAAATAAGAGTGTTTTTAGACTCTCAAGTATTGTCTGTTTTAGGTAAACACATGGTGTGAATAGCAATAGGAACAGCCACAGCCATGTTTTGTTTCACCAAAGGTACCTTACCGGTAGGATTCCTAATAACTATTCAGGATTAAGAGATCAAATTCACATCAGAAGTACTTACTTCAAGAGGAGGGTCACAACTGTTTGACACTCAGGAACTGCCAGAAGTACTTACAACAGAGGGAATGGATAGAGAAAAAAAACCTGTTTTATCTTTCTTCACACAGATGAAAAGTTGATGCTCATGGAAAAAAGTTTTGATCCATACCTTGCACCTGCAGGGTCCTTGGCAAGGGTCATCATTTAAGCTGCCTTTGAGAGAGCAATTGCAGGGCACACAGTAAGGAAAGCCTTTGTAACCCAGTGCACATCGATCACACCTCTCTCCTCCAAAGCCAGGTTTACAGTGACAGAATCCAGGAAGCAGGTCTGCAAAGAGAGGAAGGAGGAAGCAGGTTCACTGAGGCATTCATTAACACTGGGGAAGCCGAAATTGGAGGATAATTGTTGACCTGCAATCAATCTCTAATAAAATCAGTTAGAATGAGAATAGTTCATCCTCTCTCCCTCCCATTTTTATGGACACAAAACTCCCAAAATGCATATTTCAATGGCCAGAATATTATTGGTCTTGTAAAACAGAAATCGTGCATGATCTTGCCAAGTGTCCATTGTGCACTTTGACATGCCTGAGTTACACAACTGATTGGTTGCATGTCTGTGTTTTATTGTCCTTAGAAACAATATATTAAGTGCATGATCTTGCTGAGTGTCCATTGTGCACTTTGACATGCCTGGGTTACACAACTGATTGGTTGCATGTCTGTAAAAGGTGAAAACCACTTGTTTTATTGTCCTTAGAAACAATATATTACAGCAAGATTTGGGACCATTTTTTCAAAGTATTCAGCTCCGGAGCAGTCAGGAGAAGGATTGCGAGGCTCAGAGAACAAAGCTGCACATTGGTAGAAGGTATATGACGACATCATTAACCTGCATCTCTACTGGAATCAACCAACCAATTGAGAGACATGGAGTTTCTCCTGTGTAAGCTAGCCCATTTTTTCCTCCAAGGCTACACACCATTCTCTCAGGCCCTCCCCCTTCATGTAGAAGTGGGAACCAGGCACTATATCCACATATAAGCTGATGACTTTCCTGTGCCCAAATCACAATGCAACCACAGGCTACCCTTCAGCATGATCATTTCTTAATCTGTTTATCTTTCTTCTGTTCTAGTTTAAAGTCAGTCCAATAGAATTTTTGTTAATGGTGGCACAGATGATATCAATTTGTAATTAATGTTTGTAATAGATGGATAAGTGGCAGCAGAACAGAAACAGAAACTGAGCATTTAGGGTGTATAAGAGAGATTCTAATGATGTAAAACTAATTTTGGAAGTTCTTACTGTGTCTTGAAGAAGTGGCACTAGAGAATTTGATCTTCATTGATCATTAAAGACATAACCAGCTTAGTATGGCTAACAAACCCTTAATTCTGCCATCTTCTGCTTTTTCACTCACATTCTTTCCTGTCCTGATATTCTTTATCTTTCCCTCTCCTCTTTCTCTTGTCTCCCCTTCTACTAATTTTCTTTAGCTCTTCTGTTTCTCTCTCTCCATTCAATTTTTCCCTCTGTTCACTGTCTTTCCTTTTTCCTGGTACTAGGCAGCATGACTGTTCATCTCCTGAATAATTTTTTTTCTTGAAGCATTTGGGGATCTTCAGTCACTCCTGGACATCTTTTTGCCTATCATCCCTTTGACCACATGGAACTGCCTAGAGGCTATTCTGAGAACTGAACATTTCATGACCTCATGGCAGTTTTCTCTCTGATTGTTACATACACACTCCTTTGTCAGTCCAAAAATTGGCTAGATTAGAAAATCTTTACCTTCATCACACATTAGTGCTCTTTCTCCTACACTTCATTCCCATTGTTTTTTCTTAAACTGGATTCTTGCCTCGAGTCCCCTTCACCCATTCTGTTTCCCCTCTCTTCACTCTATTTCCTGCCACTAAGGAGCCAAGCAACCCTTCACCTCTGTGTCTCTAAACTCTTTGATGAGTTCTTAACCATGCAGAAAGAAGCACATGTTGAGTCGTTTAAAGGCCCTGCAAAAAACAAAACAAAACAAGTCTTCCAGGCCTCCTTCCAACATGTTTTTTTTAAAGGTTAGACTAGGAATGTCAAGTGTCTAAAGACGATAGAGAGTATAGTAAGATATTAACTAAAATTCATGAATATTTTAACACATCTCAGGATACTCTTAATTTCCATGAAATTTCATATGGCTATGTTGTCAGTCTTTAAAGTAGGAGACAGAAAGATGGATGTCCACACATGCACTTTTCCTGTTATCTACACAGAGGAAAGATAGGATTTGAATACTGATTGATCAGAAAATACAACCCTTTCTGGATGTGTTCTAAACACTGATCACTTTGTTTTAGTATATCTAACATAGCTTTTGGGGGAGTAGGGAAGACTGTAATAAGAAAAAAAGTAAACGACTGTTAGACAAGTGATGACATCCCAAAGAATTGTTAAGAAATGGTTGTTAAGCATACTTTAAAAAGGAAGATTTACACTGTGCAGTAAGAGATGGTCAAGCTAAGTATTTCTAGCACAGTGTATCTATAAAGCCACCTTCTGGTCAGTTTGCAGACTTTGGCATTTGTAAACATGCTACAAAAATTATAACATTTTATTAAGAACTCTGCAGCAGCAGACACTTGTACCAGCACTACTGCAATATGACCACAGAATACATTGTTGACATTTTAGCTGAATCTCATAATCCTTTGTCTCCAATGTACCAAAAATACAAGATGTGCAGGCTTTAACTTTGGAGGGAATCATACATTGTCATCCTTTCCCATTACACTCTAGGATTAAGGCCTTCTTAGTCTTACTTGGTTTGACAGGCACATCAGAAGTATGCTTTCATTCTTCTCCAATGAAATATTTTTCCATACAAGAAACAGCAATCACCAACAAACTCAATTCCAATATATCTAATGTTAATTCATACTGATTTGCAAATACAGAGACAAAATCCGTTGGGAAAACAAATGCATTTTCCAACCCATCTGTCAATTAAGCAACACCTTTTTTTAAAGCTTACATAGATTGAAGAAAATTGCCTTTTTTGGTACACTATAAGGAGAACATGCATTTCCCCCAACTTCATGGGAGGAATTTGTAAGAGTGATTCTACCCTGTAGGCACTGTGTTTTCTTTGCTTTTTTCCCTTCTTTTCTGCTTCAAATTTCTTATGGCTATCCCTCAAGAAAAGATTCGGCAAGGACTTGGATATATTTTGATTTCAGTTGCTAAAGCCAGGTGTTTTCATCCTGTCTTAGAATGAGTTCACTGAGGAGAAGAAAAAGAATTGGTTGCCTCAAAAAGTAAGGGACCTAAAAACTACATCTGTCTCACTGAACTATCTTTCATTAAACTGGGGCCAGTATACAAAGAAGCAAATATGTAAGGTCTGCTTCTGATGCATCTCTTTTCACTCAGAAGGGAATCACCACATCATACACGGAGGGGGTGGATGCCTAATTTGGGAAGTCCTTACATACTGTGTATGCCTCCTTGTGAAAAACATGGCTAAGTCAGGCTGCTCAAATGATCCTCAATTTTCTTGGGGTCCAAAAGAGATAAGAAACTAAATGCTTAGGTGTCATTGAAAACAGCATCATGCACATTGATGTCTAGCAGAACTTTTCTACATTCTACTCCATGTTTCACCAGACAGGCAGTAGCAAAAACTATCAAGCCATCAGTAACATAGCTACTCAGAACTAATTACTTTTCCTGCAAAAGATTATGATGAAATTAAGTTTCAAAAGAAATATAGGGCCGAAAAAAATTAGTTTATTGTTATAACAAATAACATTATCAAGTGACTTTCAGAAAGTATTTTTAAAGGGCATTTTAAAGCATGTTGACAGGATGTTTTCAGGCTTTGTACCATTTTCTTATGAATCATACAGTGTTTTGCTTAAAGAAACTCAACATAGATTAATGAACTCTGCAACAAATGATATATAAAAATTTGTGCTTTGGCACTGCAGTGTATAACAACAAGCTATAGGAATGAATTATTTTTTAAAAGTAACTTCCAAAGCTCTGACCAAGACACTGGTACTAAATGGGGAAGATGGTGAAACTTGAACTTTCTAGTAGCATACCTAGTTTGCCCCGAGCCTCTCTGTAGATATATTTTTGTGCTTCAGCACAAGGCTACTGTCCTCATGTTTTAAGATAAAATTCCATACTGTAATCTGTTCATCAGGCTACTTCTACCTCTGGACCAGCAGTGTGTGGTTTCGCCATGCTCCTGTTTAATTTTTCCATTTCTTCACTCTTGCGTTCAGAGGTAACACCATCTGTCAGCAGGATAATGCAATGTGTCCACAAGAAAAATTATCCTTGTAAGAATTATAGCAAACCAACCTAATGTTAGGAACAGCAAGATCTAAAACTGCACTTAGTGGTTTGCAGGCTGTAATAGAAACTATTTATGTTGTTATCAGATGATGCTTCTTATACTCACAAGTTTATGAGTTAATGCATGGGCAGATAAATGTGACACCTCACAAAAAGCCTTGTTCTGGCTTTCAAGTGAAAGTAAGAATAGAGCAAAGAATCGTGGAGATCTCAATTATTTCTAATAGCTGTCTCCAGAGGAGCAACCTCCTTGCTCTTGGCAAGAGGATAAAAACTTCTTTACAAGGATACAAATGCTTGGTTCAGAGGTACAACTCTTTTACCAGAATTAGAATGTGGACTGCACACTAGGGAAATGGGTTGGATGCTTAGGCTGTGTGCATTTTTGTACAGATCTGTGAACAATACCTTTCTCCCCAAAAAGAACAAGAAAGAGAATGAAAGAAAAATTAAAATCCCATGGGGAGAGATTCCCAATGTCTCCTTCCCCCCCCCCATATCCCCCACTGCAAATGTCAGAACAACTGAAAGAGAATATGAGAGACAATGGCAAGGAAATCTCTTAGGCCTCATGAGGAAGAGCGTACTGCAAAAACACAGGCAAGCAGATTTGAAAAAGCCTCCCGTGAGATGGTATTTCTGAAAAGACCAGCATAGCGGAAAGAGGTTACTAGTGAATGTTCTTTTTAACAATGACATACATAATGTTTAACTCTGTGACTTGAGTCAGGAATCTCACCTCCTATAGCGTGTTTTTCATCCTTGACACAAGTGCCGTCTAAAGAGCCAATGGAATAACAATTACACGGCTGGCATGGTTTGCGTTCACTTGGTAGTACCTATGAAAACAACAGCAAAAGCAAAAGCAAAAGGGTTGACCCAGGAAGCTTAGCAACCCTGGGATACACGAGCCCAACTATATGTTATTCAAAATCGGATGGCATTCCACAATCTTATTTCTCTAGTTTTCTTCCCACTGACAATTGAAATAGTATCTCTCTGCTCTGGGAAACATCTTCCTACGGACAGAAAAGAAGTGTTTACAGAATTACATCTTCTCTTAATTCAAAATATAATATTAAAGTGATACCCTGATCCTCCTGGGTATTCTTCAACATAAACACAATTTACTTTCACATGCTTATGAATATCTGCCTTACTGACTCCCGATTATGAGGAGTAAATAGTAGGCTTGAAATATTAGAATTTAACCTCCTTCAATTGAAAATTTTCATTTTCTTTCTTTCTTTCTTTCTTTCTTTCTTTCTTTCTTTCTTTCTTTCTTTCTTTCTTTCTTTCTTTCTTTCTTTCATTCAAGCATTTATATTAAGGCATTTGTTGGACTGGCTTGTAAGAGTTCCAGATCTACCATGGAATGTGAAGCAAGAATTTCAGCACCACTGAACAGTTACAGTGCTTATGGGGAGTAACTGTGTGAGAGCACAGCATAATCGAGTTATTTCACATAGTTCTTTGTCATTCTTTTGCCCAGTTTTAACAGTGGTAGCAATCAGGGCAAAAAAATTCTAAGAATACAGTGTGAGCTTCAGTTAAAATCATCTCTCTACTTATTATATTGCTAATGTGACCCTGGTAGCCTCTTGCCTAATCCTTCCTTTGCTTTTATAATTTGATTACTTGAATCTTAAAATCTATTTCTTTTGTTTGAGTGTATGTGCCTATTAAACAATGAAACATTCTATTCTTTTCCACCTGTCCCACTGGCCCTACTGTTAGGTGTCTGACTTCTTTCTTGAAGTTACTGTTTTCACCTCTGTTTATTTACATTTCAGTGACATACTCTGACGTTTACATTTACTCGTTGTACTATACAGTGCAGTAGCACCAAGTCTGAAATCTGACCTGCAGAAATACTCTTCAAGACTATAGTATAGTACCACCCCCCCAAAAAAAGGGTGCTCTGGGAAGATCATTTTTGATTTAGGTTCTGTTCTCTGCCTGTCCACTTCTGCAAAGCACTGCTCCTGTCTGCCTGCCCAGTGTCCACTGTTCAGAGCAAAACTTTAACTTATCCTCCTAATTATTGGGTTGCCTTTTGTTTTTAATCACTCTTCTTAAAGCAGTTCATCAGCTGTGAACTTATTGGTCTAAGGGTTCCAGGAAGTTTCTACAATAGTAGGGGAACAGTGAGATAATGAAAGCAGCATAAATGGGGGAAATCTGGTACATAGCTGAGTATACATGTTTTCAAGGAACATTGCCCCATATACCCTTGATGCTATGTGAAACCCTGTCTTCCCTCTTTCCAAATTCCAAGTACATCTGTGCACAGTTGGAGCAGTTCATGCTGTCTGATGCAAGTCAGTGGGAAGCTGCCAATCCAAATGTACAAATCTATTAAGATGGAGGGCCCAACTTTGAATTGGATATGATTTAGGCTGAATCACTTCAGCCTAAATTGGATTCCACCACAAAGTACTGAATCTGCTTCCAAACTGAAAAAGCAAACCTCAGGACAGACCTAAAATTTTAATTTGCCTTTCTATTCAGTGGGTCTCTTAAAACAATTTATCATAGATTAAAACAATTTCTAAAATAATATTAAAACATTCAGTAAAGGCAGATCCAAATCTAGCACCTGAAACTCAACTATAGCCTATAGTCCTGGGCTACAGTAAGTAGAATTGTGCATACTTTACCCCCTTTGGCCTGAAATACCCATCAATGCAGGTTTCACAGTTGATGCCTGCAGTGTTTTGAGTGCAGTTAACACAAACTCCACCCCCATCATATTTTCCATGGATATTCAGACTCTGCTTTTTGTCTGCCACAGTTTGATCATAGTAACATTCTTCAGCTTTCCCATGACAATTGCAGGCTGTGGAGAAGAGTGAGAGAGATACAAAATAAATGTGTTAGTAAACATCATGTCTAGCTTGCAGATATGTAGAAACAACATTTTTGCCAAAGTATACTATGCATACTTGGGGGGGGGGGAATGCCAGAGCCCTCATTCACAGAGTTTTTTCAGTCTCTTTCATTAACAAGGTATCACATAGGAAAGGTACCCGAGTATTCATTTGGATAGTTCCTTTCCAAATAATTCTTCAGTGTGTTTCCAAGTCTGAAATAGCAAAGTACCTTTTGGAAGCCAGCACATACATACATAAATTGAAAAGCACAAGGGTTATTCATAAAAAATTCTGAGAGAAAGCCGCTGCTTTTGGAAATGCTGTCTGTACGCCAGCTTTGTGAAACCAGCTGAACTCTTACGGAGTTTGGAATAAAGGATTTTTTTTGGTACTACAGCTCCCAGAATCCTTCAGCTGGCATGACCAAAAGAAATAACCCTTGTAAGCTCCTGCACTTTGATAATTACTTTGCAATATAGCACAAACAGAATCATTTACAATTTCTTTTCAATATAATTACTACATGCTGTGTGAACCCAAAGAAAGCCAAGCAACCCTGAAAGGCTAAAATTCAACCAGCACTGTTTTCTAATGCACTGTCGTGCTTAAATTCACCCCCACTGAAATTAATGGATTTTTAAGTGTTTTATGTATATAAAGAAAAGCATCCACAAGAATAGTTGAAAAATCCATAAAAACTCCTGAAGGCTTTTGAAAGAAATACAGATTTAACCTAGAGTCATTATCACAGGTGATTTTATTACTGGAGGTTTACTATGTTCATTTCCACATTTCAGTTAATAACTGGCTGTTTAAATATGAAGCTCATTTTCCCAGACATTGGCCAGAATCCTGTTGCTTAGTGTAATGAATCATACTAGAGTAAGCACATTGCATCAATGGTGATTTAATAAGTCAGCTCCTTTACATGTTCCACTGATTCAAATGGGCTACTCATGAAACCCTCTTGATTCAATGGGTCAACTCTAGTGTCATTTATTACACTAAACAACAGGATTTGGGTGAGTCTCTCATCCAGCCCTAGATATGTTACGATGCATGCGAAGATTATTTCTTTGTATTTATAACAAATGTCATAAACAACAAAATCTCATCAAATTTCCCATTACCTTCGCACTCATGCTTTACAAGAAAGGTCCCAGCTTGCCAAGGTTTTTGATTAAACCCAGGACAACACCTATCACAACTTTCTCCACAGGTGTTGTGCTCACATTCACAAGACGACCTCTGAGAAATGTAAAGAAAAAGTTAAAGAGATTAGAGAAGCTAAAAAGAAACATCCTGGACAATGAGAAAATATAAACAGTGCTCTCCTGGTAGGATTCTGGATGTGGTAGAGCTATAAAGCTGAACAGAGTAGGTCCACACAGAGGTGATACCCTGGCCTACATGTTTTGTCACTCCGGCCTTGCCAAATGCCAGCAACAGCCTGCGGAACGTGACTTGAAATATATGAGAAATGCATTTTCTCCTCCCCACCTTTGTCTTGCTTATGGCATTCTCGAGGGTGCCAAATTACCTACTAAAGTTGTACTCAGTTTTGACATGGCTAATTAAACGTAATGTACATGCCCCATTTTATTCCCCGTTGCTGATATAATCACTTTGGTACTGGGACTGGGCCAAGGAGAAACCAACAAGCATATACTGAAGGGTATGGAAAGATTATCTGGATACCTGTAACTGCTATTCCCCAACAGCAGTGCCTCTAGTTGGAACATCCCCAGATGATCTTAGACCACAACTCCCAGAAATCCTGGCCAGCACAGCTAGTGATGAAGCTTATGAGATTTTTAGTCCAAGAACATCTGGGGACGCAAGGCTAGGAACCAGTACTCTAGTGAATCAACTCCTTTCCTGTGGAATGCCCTTACATTTTAGGGCTGAACCAGATCCCACAAAGAGCTCATTGTTAGAAGTGGCATTTCCTTAAGTGCTAAAATCTTTTGAAGCATAATCACACTATCTTGCTTTGTTTTGTGTTTGTTATCAGAAATTAAAACACTGGGGGTTGGTTTTGTTTTGTTTTGCATTCTGATTCAGCAAAGACATTGGGAGAGGATTACATAGCTCAAGAAAACAGTGGCATGTTTTATTCTTCTAATGACATGCTATCAAGAGAGTGTGACATGACTTTCGGTGACAAGCAGCTACACTTTTCTTTCTCCAGTCTTTGTTGAAGTCCTTTATTTCCATGCAAGCATTTCCTAACTGATGCTTCAGAAGTAATTTCCTGTAATAGCAACCACAAGAAAATAATGCTTGAAGTGTGCCAATGAAATATGCATCAATGAATGCACATTTTTACACTACAATGCACTTTCTGACATTGTTATGAAACAGTATAAAATATATAGGACCTTAATTACTGGCCAGAATCTTGTTTGTTCCATGTCTTTGCTTAGACGTGTGTAAAAACCCCACAAGAAACTATTTTTATCATACTGCCCATATACTGTGTTAATGTTCTTTTTAAAAATAATTATGATTTTGTTGTTAAATTGTGTTAGAAATAAAGACATCCTAAAAATAATTAATGGAAGGTTCAATTTATTACCAGTAAGTTATTTTAGGCTTAATTAAAGATGTCTATAGCTCTCCTAAGAGCTCAGCTAAAAGTTCTTAACCAAGATGTTTTTTAGGTCAAATTAAGCTCCAAAATATGGAGCAGCAAGGGACTCAAAGGGGGCTTAATCCTTTGCTGCTGCAGGTTCCACACTCAGTGGCAGCAATGAGTGGTACTCCTTAGGGTCAATAGCTGTCACTTTTAAAAATCAGATTCCATTTGGGGACCACACAGAAGCCCTATTCAAACATTAAGCCTGGAAGTGAGGACTCAAAGATGGTGGCAACAAGAATAGGCATCTAAGACCCATCTCAGTGCCCAGCAGTCATGGAGGCTTTCTTAGCAAGCCTCCCAATCCCAGAAACAGTGTAAGTATATTCAGCTGAACACACAAAGGCCTATCCAGACCTTCATGTTGAACATGCAAAAGTTTGTGTAATTTCCAGGTGGGATGGAATGATGGAGGTAGAGATTACTTGTGTCCCTGCAGTACCATCTCCCTCTAACCCCTACACATGTTCAGTCAATTCCTGAACAGAATTTATGTGGCAATGCATTAGCATTCTGAGAGAACTTGTCAGGAGGCAGGAAAAAATGCTGGCCACCATGAATTCTACTTCTCCTGTCCAGTGGCCCCAACATTTAAAAAAAAAAAGTATGTTACTTACTTAGTGTCCCGTAGTGTACTCTCTGGGTGGTTTACACCCAGGTGTTTTGGGTGGTTTACAATTTAATTATGCACCGTACACATTTTCCCCCTGAAGGTGGGTACCCAATTTACTGACCTTGGAAGGGTAGAAGGCTGAGTAAATCTCAAGGCCTGGGACTGAACCTGGGTTGTGATCAGAGTATTGGCTGTAATACTACAGTTTAACCACCGTGCCACAAGGCTCCTTGCATTATCCTTTCAACCTTTGTTTTCAGTAGGACTGTCAATATACTCATCATGACTTATAGGAAAAGGAGAATTATTACTTGGATTTTCATGAGCTTTTTGAGTTTTCAAAGTCTGGTTGTTAGCAAACCAACTTTCTTCAGAGGTATTTTGTTTCACTGCTACACAAATCTCTGTTTTCAAGCTGTGGGGTAAACAATCTTTTGATATAATGAAATGGGAAAAGGAAGTTGATGGAGCAGGAGATCAAAAGAAATGGACCAATATATGAAATGTATCCTGTCTTTCTTCAGCATCTATTAATATTGGAGATACAATTTAAAAAGTGATTAGAAGATGGATTCTATTAGCAAGAAACTGTCAAGTAAATCAGGGCTGAACAACTTCCACAAATTCTGGGTTCATATTCAGTTCCCTTTAGCTCACCAGAGGCCATCCCTGGTTCCACTGCCAAACTTGTCAGAAAGTTTTAGAGGCACAGTGGCAGCAAAGAAAGGCCATATTTCCATTCAAAAACTAGGTGCACTGAGAGCACATGCCTTATTTCAAAGCACAAGCACATATTCACGGGGTTACCGAGAGAACAATTGTGCTTTCAAATAAGGCACCCTCTTGTGGCTTTTCCTGCCATCACCAGATTTCTGTGGTGCTGTGGCAAGGGGGCAGCAGGGGATAGCAAAATTGGTTGGGGACCCTGGTGTGTGTGTGTGTGTGTATGTGTGTGTAGGAGAGAGAGACAGAGAGGATCTGTCAAGTCACTCCTTTCTTACAGTGACCCTAAAAGAATCTTCAAGTAAGTGACATATTTAACAATAACAAAATGTAGACTTCCCTTCTTAACATTCAGGTAATTAAAAAAAATACATACATTTGTTGCTAGATTCAGTGGGCATGCCTTCGCGTGGCCATAACAGATGCACATTCCTCCAACAGATATATCTTTCACGGAATAATAATACTGCAAGAAAATAGAAAATAAACAAACAAAACTCAAAGTACACAACTTTATAGTTTGTAAGTTCCTGGTGTGCCTAGTGCATGCATAGTGAAATTGAGCTGGCTTGCAGCCAGGATCACAAGCTGCCTGAGTCTTACACATGTTCAGGAATTACAAAATAGCATGGCAGAGTGGCTAGAGTAACTTCAAATCAAGAATAAACAGAAGTACCAGAATTTACCGGCAGCAAGTGACAAGTAATGTAATGTAGGAAGGGTGGGTAAAGGTTTCCTGAAGTTACTTTACTGGTGCAATGAGTAATGTTTTGTAGTTAGTTTCAAAAACGTTTTCTAAAAGAGATTTAAAAGCATTTAAGTAGCATTTTGATGCAAACTTCATGCAGAAATTAAATTGCGTGCCTCACCACAATGTATTGCTGCTGACTAATGAGGTGCTGGTCATTTTATTAGGCATAGGCCTGTTGTGTAATTAGACACATCTGATAGTGTAACTGGTGTATCATTAGTAATAGCAATTTGCTGCAGTGAGTTACACAATTTAACTTATGGATATGTAGATCACCAACAGGATTATGACCAGTATTTTACTGCTTGTTTTATCTGACTTTTATCCTTTATTTCCCCTAGGGCTGGGACTCAGGCCATTTTGTAAGACTTATAACAGGTAGAGATGGAAATAGATAAAAGCAGGTACAGGAAAGAGCTTCTAATGCTAAAACACAATTAAGAACTGTAATATTAAACTGCTATTCAGTTAAAAATCCCATCCTTAATGTTTGTACTCTACAGAGTGCAGACATTAGAAACCTCTACAGAGCCCACATGAGGAGTACGTATCTATGCGTTTGAGTCATAATCACCGACATGAATAAAACTCTCCATGAAATACATAATTATTTGCTTATTTCACTCTTTATTTAGAGGTGTGGTTCTTTATTTATTTCACTCCCACAGCTGAAAATAAAGTGTTTCAAATGTTTCTTCCTTGGCTGGTGGCATGTCAGGACTTTTTTTTCCAAAGTGGCTTTTGCATAGAAATGCTGTGTAAAATACAAAGTTCTTGCACAAAATACCCAGAAGTTCCACAAAGCATAGGCTTTGGATAACACTGATGTTGACCAAAAGCAAGCAAACAAAAAAAAAGCACTGGTCTTGTCATTCTTGTGCTGCAGCCAAAACTCCCGCAGCAGCTGGCAATTATTTCAATGCATCGAGGCATCCTTTTTCATTTAGATTGAGAAGATTTGTGAGTATAAGTTACATCCTTCGCCTACTGGAACATTTGACTTTTTCTTCCCCTCTCTAAATAGCAGAGCCAGATGGCATCATTATTGGGAGTGAGCAGTTTCAAAAGAAGGGGAAGGGAAGAGGGGAAAACAATAAAGCTCCTGGAGCTCATAATTCCTAGAAGACCACACTCTCTGTGGATCTCAGCCAGCAGCATCAATGGCAAAAAACAACAACCCCACACTGCAAACAAGAGGCTGTAACGACTTTGCCAGGACTTACCCTCCTGGTAACTATTGGGTCAATTTCATTGGGGTCTCTGTGCATCAGCATCATTAAATCAGCATTCAGTGTCCGTATCCTCTGATATCTGAGGCGAATATAACGAGCAGAGGTAAATTCTAGCAGAGCTGGAGAAGGGTCATCTGCACTTGGCCGTCCATTGATCAAAGAGGTATGAATCTAGAAAACAGGATACAGAATGAGAGTGTGTGAATGAGAGTTCTCAGTTTTTTCTAGACTACCAGAGCTGCAGTGCCCATTCAAGTATAGTGGCAGGAGAAAAAGGGTTGTTTCTAAACAAGTCTCTTCCTCTTTTACATATGTCTCTACGTCTGCACAACTCTCCATAATTGCAACATTCTACCAGATCAGCTGGCGTGCCTGGTGTGCTCTGGTCCATGGGGTCACGAAGAGTCGAACACGACTAAATGATGATGACCGGATCAGCTGAATGAGTACATATCAAGAAGTACAGTGAATCTTAAGGGGAGGAAGAAAAAGGATTTGCATGCACGCATGGATGCACTGATGTGAATGGTAGTGATTCCAACTAATGTCTCCTAAAAGAGATTAAACCAAATAATCACATATTTTTCAGCAGATGTGTGGTCACATTCTTGGCAGGACAGTGCAGATGACTAAGCTATTCTAGAACAGGAGAAGAAACCTTAGGATAGTTGAGTCACCAGCACTGTTTGTGCCTTTTGGAGCCAACTCATATGTGACACAGGAGATTTGTGATTAGAACACTCTGCGAATGTCTGTTTTGAAACTTAAATGCCCCTGAGAGACTTTCAAACTTGATTTGATCAACAGTGTTAGAGAAGGAAGTTATTCAATCTTCCCCCAGCCACTAGAATCCTTGATCATCCCATCCCAGAATGATGATTATTAGCTCTCTTGTGAGGAAAGATGGCCTTTAGAGAAGTACTTGTTCTGATCACCGGAGTTCAGGAAAGAATTTGGTCTCACAGTCTGAGGGCACGGCTACACAGTAATATACTCAATGATTTGTCCCAGAGTTAGTGTGGTTACATATGATGCCTTTGTCAGCAACTACATGATATAAAGCTAATTGTGTAGAAACCCTGTCTTTTTCAATGGGCGTTCAGTGCATTTTCATCTGCCAGCAGATCTCCTAGTATTCTGTTCCAATTCTTCCTGCATCAATCTGCTTTGGTTTCTGCTGTGTGCTTGCTAAAAGGGTGAGGACAGCAGTCCTAGGTGACATCTTTCCTTGGGGAAAAGAAACTGTACAGAGAAGACGGTCTGATTTCCTCCCCAAAGGTCTTCTTGCTGCAGTACAAAGAAGCTTTTCACACACACCTGTCTCTCTTTTACTTTAAGCACACTGGAGGAACTGTGTGAAGCTGATAAATTATTTCAACTCAGTGCTATATCACTTCTCAAAAAAAATTGTTCATAAAGACATAAGACATAAGACATAAGAACAAAAAAAAATTGTTCATAAAAATGAAATAGGTGGATGTAATGGAAGAGGCATTAATGGAAGGGTGGGAGAATAAGAGGGCAATGTTAAAAGAGCAAGAGGCTGTGTTCCCTATGATAATTTCAGAAATTATAAGTACAACGTTGGCTCTTGCCATGGGATAATGGGACATTTCTCTCTGTATCTTGGGTGCAGAGAGAAATGTTCAGAGTTTTCATTGCTGAAAATGAGGCACTTCTTTTAGGAGGTCTTTTTCTATTCCTCCATAACCCATTAATAGTTCTAGTCCATATGAATGGCAATGGTGATTTCAGTGGTAGAAACTGTCCCTGACCTGGTTTAATTTTTTTTAAGCAATCCAATTTAATCTGGCTGTATTTCTGTGAGTGCTGCTGATTCCACCCCCAGTGGTTCCAGCTGGGTCTCCCAGTAACCATGAGCTCCACATTGTAGGGATAATCAGTAATAGCCTTTATTTCTCCAAACAGAAACAGGGACTGTAAGTCCTTCTGTGAGCTTCAGGGTGTGAGGGTGCACCAACCCTTCAGGGGATGTCCTTTCAAGGAAGGCCCCTGTTAATGCCACTAAGAGATCCAGCCCTTGAAACACGGGGGGGAAAGATGAATCACAACCTCAGTCAGAATGGTTGATAGAGATGGGTGGGAGATACTGGTGTCATGATCCTTTGCTTCTCCAGGAGTCTCCTCCATCTCTCTTGCTGGTGCATTCATTGCCAGCACTGTAGCTCAGTCCAAGTGGGCGTCACTGCTCCTCTGCATGGCGTGGACACCCAGGTCTTGATGGTGGTGGTAAGGACTCTGTTAGTCCAGGTACAGTGGCCCTTCATCCACAGCCCCCTCCTCTGCCCAACAGGTAGGGTTTAGGGGTTTTTGGCTAGGAATTCCTCCTCTCAGTGGCTTTCTATCTCTCCTGAGGTGCAAAACTAAGGGTTCCAAGCCTCAATATGTGGCCTCCTCACATCTCCTCTTCCCTTGAGGTTTCCATGTCTCTGTCTCAGAAGGAAGTTCCTGGGTCCTCTTGTTTATTTTCCTTTATTCTAGCCCTCATCTCCTCCTCCTCCTCCTCCTCCCTCTGCAGGGACTTGGGAGCTGAAGTTTCTCCTGGGCTGTCCCAGAGCAGCAGGGCAAGGGCAGACATCTCATCTGCGGTGCCTATGGTGAACCCCTCACAACCTCAGTGTGTACTGACACTCTGAAAATACCCTAAACCTGCTTTTATATTGTTGCTCAAGTTTTTTTAAAGTTAGAAATTTGATCACAGCTCTCTTAGGAGATGAACTCTGTGAATTAGGAAATTTCCTATATTAGTCTCACAATTCCCATGTTTGATTATTCTAACATTTGGGAGTATATTATAATAAAAGAGTAATATTCTTGTTTCATTAGTATGGTGACTACTTTTAAAGTTTTTGAAGCTTTTGAAACTTTTGAACAATAATATTTTAGATTTCTATTTTTAAATTTGTGCATATGCTCCTTTTAAACCAATAGCCCATATGGTAGCTTCATGAAGGATTTAACAAAAAAACATTTGTTTTTCCCAACTCACAGTTTTGGTATTTGAAGAAAGATGCTTTGCCAGAAAATCCTCTGAGTACAGTCACTCCCAAGTTGTTTCTGACATATTGGGGGAAAAAATCCCAGCTGTTTGGCTATGCTGCTCAAAGCATTAAAGTTTGCTTAGTTTTCAAAACACATGACATTCCTATCTGGGAAGCTTTTGGGAGGTTTTTAAAAAGTGACTTCCCTCCCCCAAGAGATGCCCTTCTTTCTAAAATTCTTAATATATATCTTCCTAGTTTTCCCAAAAGTTCACTTGTGTATCAAGACTCAGATCCGCTCTGACTTAGATGCTGTTGCTGATGTAACTTGGGTCCCTGCTTGTCTCATTATAATGGATAACCTTCAATTGGTGTGGTCTGATGATGTGGGCAGGACCTTTGGAGAAGCCACCACATGTATGCTGGACCACTGATGGACTCGATGAAGGCTAACAAACTGAAACTTAAGATAAGATAAGACAGAGGCATTCCTGGTGCCTTGCGAGGCAAATCAGAGGATAGGGATCCAAGCTGTAGTAGCCAGATGGATGGTATTGAACATACAGGTTTAAGTAGTGGCCCAAGTGCATTTGCACAGTTAAAGTTGGTGCACCAAGTGCACATGTTCATTGAGATGTCCCATCTGGCCACAGTGACACATGCCTTAGTTACATCCTGTTTGGATTACTGCGACACACTGTCTGTGAAGCTGCCTTTGTAGAGTATTTGGAAACTTCAGCTGGTTTAAAAATGCTGTAGCCAGACTGCTGACTGGCACTGGCTATAGGAAGCATGTTGCTCCTCCCCACAACCTCAGCAAGTCCTTTGCAGCCCGATCCACCCCACACCGAAAACGACCAGTGTGGACAGGCCTTTAGTAGAAAATGTGATGTGCTATTATTTTGCAAGAACTAATAAAGCTAGTAGTACTACATGTGTCTTTTGAGCAGTCATCTTATCTTTCAGTACCTGTTGTTTGTGTGTATGTTTGTACTCAGCTTCACAAAAGTTTTGTGGTGAGTGCAAAAAATATGATGGGGAATACAGTATTTGTCCCACTCTTCCACTAAACACAAATACAATTGTTAGGACTTGGAGAACCTTTTAAAGATTGTCTTGGCATCCCAAGACAGCTATTTTCCAACCAAAACCAAGTGAAGAGTGAGATTTCTTTTCCTCACACCTATCCTTGGGTGTTTGTTTTTATCTTTTGTAAACTGCTTACCTACCTTAATTACAATAATATGTCTAATATAGTCTGGCTCTAAAATTCTAAATTGTGCCATTTAAATTATCAAAAGGGGAATTCTGATTTGTTTCAATGGACTGCTTTTCCAAAACTATAGCACTTTAATAGAAAATGTTTCTGTCCTAGTTTTTATAGGTAATATAAGAGTAGGACATTAAGAGATAATCTAAGAACGTGATCTCTCTCTCTCTTTCTCTTTGTATATGTTGGGATATTTTCTTGTGATATTATGTTTCGATTGCAAAGTATTTTTAAAAATTGGCCCTTATGAAATAAAGCAACCACAACTGTTGCTATGTTCCTCAGCATTCTCCAATCTCTTGCCCTCCAGACATATTAGGGTACAACTTTCATTATGTCCAATCAGCATGGCAATTAGTCATGCTGGATGGAGAGACAGAGAGTGGTATTCCAATATGTCTGGAGGGCACCAGGTTGGGAGAAGGCTGGTATACAGGATTAAAAGGAAAATGTAAACGATGGCATAGCAGCAAGAATGATTAATTTCCATCCTTCTTATAAGAGATTAAGAAAACTACCTGACAGAAATTCATTCTGTGATGCCCAGCAAGAATAAAGACAACCTAACGCATCCACACATGTGTGAAAAGAGGATGCATGAATAGCACAGTTACCAGACTCTCAAAACTAGACTAGCAACAGGACAAAAACAATGTAACAGCACAAAACTATCCATCAAATAATTTTCGTACAGTGTACAATTCATATGAGTATATTTATGGAGGTAAAACATGATTAATTGCAACTTCGATATTGAATGCAAAATACTGCCAAATGGCCTTCTTCCTTAGCCAATTATTTATATTGCCAACTATATATACTTTTCATCCCACAAAAGATGGCTATAATACCCACATACCTTTTCATAACAGCTACAGACCTAGATCTGGTCTGGTCAC